AGTAGAAGAGATTTGACCATTATTTCTCTGTTCAATTCATATCCAATATTTATATTTAAGGGTGTGAAGCGCCAAATTTATCCAGTAAGCACAGTGTCAACCATTGAATTTCTTTTTAATTCTTTATTTATTATGTCATTAGAAAGGCTGATAATCTTTTGAAATAAAGAGTATTTCTGTTATGATTTAATACAGGGCATTTCGCAATTCACTCGTTTTACCTTGTTTGGTTCGAACCTTAGGTAGAACCTCAACTACTACAGGTAGAACCTTAACTACTACGAGGACTAGTATCATATGAGTTGTTTTGGGACTAGTTTGAATTGTTTCTCCGAGGTGAGAAAGAGTGCGTAACTTTCAGTATAAGCGATGATGATGATAATGATAACAAATATGTCTAAAGGTTAATACTTTTTCATGATTCTTCACGTTAAACGTTGGCAACTACCAGTCGTTATATGACTTCTAATGTCAAAAATCATGTGCAGAAAATATATTTTCTGGGAGTGTGATAGAGGTAAGAAAAAGCATACTTTATTGACAGTATTTCAATCTAAATTAATATTTGTGGTGTATGAGAAACTTTTTTGAATCTAATGTTATATCAACCTATGTATATTGTAAATGAGCAGCATACACTGTCAGAAAGATATGCCTTAAAAATAATTTTATGTATGAACAGATACAAGTTCTTCAATAGGCACATATTTTTGAACTAATGCTTGCTTGTTTATGATTCTTAATTTATTTTTAAACTAATGCTTGCTTGTTTATAATTCTTATTGTAGGTAGAACCTCAACTACTACCATGTAACTTTGGCTTTTGATTTAGGAAATCAAATTGCGAGAAATAACTTTTCTCAGGTGAGATAGAATGTCCTAGCTCTTATGGGTGGTATCTGCTTTCAACTTATACATAGTTTGCATAAAAACACATGGAATTCGTATATCAAGTAGAATTCCATTGACTACCATTCATCATTTAGCGTTTGATTATGGAATTTGTATTTTCGAAAAGTATGTTTTTAGAGGTGACTTGTACTTGCATAAGGACATATCTAAAAGAATTAAAGCTTCGTTCTTGTGGTTGTTAATACAGGTAGAACTGCAATATCTACCTAGTCACCATTTGGCTTTTGATTTTGTAAACAGTTTTACATAGAATATTTTTTTTCAGAGATGAGAGAGGGCATTGCTTATGGATTATTATTTATGTGAACTCTGCCTGAGAAACATATCAAAACTAATACTTGTTTGTCAATGATTCTTACCTCTAAAACCTCATCTACTATCAAGCTACCTTATGCATTAGTATTCTGTGACTCGTGGAAAAATATTGCTTAAGAGATATAGGTGGTTTCCAAATATACACTTACTTTTGTAGTGCTCGATAAACATATCTACAATTAATGCTTCTTCGTCTATGGTTCGTACCTTAGGTAGAAGCACTACTACTTGCAGAATTTGATGCACTCGCTGGCTGTAAATGGCTAGACCACAACCTATCCTCTGCAGTGCACTTGCCAGTGGATCTCAAACAGAGAGTTCTTTGTTCCCAACAGTTTGTCCAGGAGAATGCTTGAGTGAGGGAACTGAACACTGAAACCATCAAAAAATGGGTAAATGAATATCCTCCTTTACCTATTGGAGAACATTACTTCAATAGAGAGTTAATCAAAATTAAGTTCTGTAGCGGAATATTATCATTATTGACCATAATTGTAATATTACTTATTTATGTTATAATGTATACTACAAGCGCTCTGATTTTTTGCAGCAAAAGGTTACAATTTCTTGGACATGTGTGAAACTCTTGAAACTCAACTTGTTCTTCATATATATGTCACAGTATAACCAAGTTCTGCGAAACTGGAGCTTGTTTGATGGGATTGCTTGCTCAAAAGAGTACCAGGGGATGCAAATGGTTCATAACCTTATAGAACTCTGTTGAAAAGTGTGCTGAGTTCATCATGAGATCTACCTTATGCAACTCCATCCGCAATCGGTGTGAGTTTGTCATGAATCATGAGATCCTTGCATAAGAATTTCTGCCAATCAACTTCTGAAAACAAAATTCCTATATATGAATAGAAGAACCTGGAAACCTCAGAATAAACAAAAATCCCACAATTTAGTATCACAGGAATGTGCTCAAACACTCCATCTTTTGGGATAACTTCTGTAACTCCGAACCTGCCAACGCAAAAGTATCTTCTATTTATGCGAAGGAGAATGTTTTGGACACTATAATAAGGCCAGGGTAGAAACTTAAAAATAAATGAACAAAGAACATTTTCCAACAATGTTTCTTTCAAATAGTGTCCAACAGAAATGAGTACTCGTGTTATGTAATCAACATTGCAAGTGACCAAATGGTTGCTAACCTTCATGCTAACTTGTTTGAGTGTTGTTCTTATTATAGCTTAATTTGAATGGTCTGATCAGTTGAGATTTGTTAGCTTAATTTGTTAGTAACTTAAAGTATGACACGGAGAAGACACCGAGAAAAACTTGTGAGGGAGACACATCACCAGCCACTGTTGTTAATGATGTAAGAAGCTAAGGGCATGTTTGGCTTATTATTTCTACCCATATTCCCAATCCTATTCTCCAAATAATGTTTGACACATTATTCCAGAAATATTACCCTATTTTTTTAATTACTTTTAGACCCTATAAGGTTATTAATTTCATTAAATACCCCCTAAAAAAAGTTTAAAAATTAACAAAAATACCCCCGTGACCCATACTTCCCAGATTCCGGCAACCATTGTCAGTGGTAGCCGAAATCTATCACAACGGTGAATTACCGACCGAAATTGACCGGTAATTCATAGATCTGACCTTTTCCAGCCAGATCCACTGGCCATCAGCAACTGCCAAAGATATGGCCATCGTTTTCAGTCAACGATGGCCAAGATGGTCGTCGTTTTTGCCTTTTTTGACCATCAACGGCCATAGCAGGCCGTAGATCTGGCCTTTTCCGGGCAGATCTATGGATTTGCCCAAATTCGGCCAGATTCCGGCGGTGGTGGCCGGAATCTGGCACTGCAGGTAGTGGAGATATTTTTGTCATTTTATATGTTGGGGTATTTATTAAATTAGCAAACTTAGGGGGTTGTTTTGTAAATTTTTAAATTTTACCTCGTAATACTCCCATATTCAATTATCCAATACTATCTCCAAAATCATATCCAAAATAATAAACCAAATGCACCCTAAGTTATTCGTTATTGTTGTAAAGCCAAGGATTGTTTTGAGTAGTAGGATGACTCGTAGTAATCTTGAAATCATATAATAACAATAGAGCTATAAAAAGCAAATCACTCCTTGTTGATCACGAACCTACTAAGAAAAAAAAAGAAAAGGAGAAAGAAGATTCTAGTAAAGGGCCCAAATTTCTTTGAATTTTCCAACTTCTTGTGATAGAAGGAAATACCCTCCTGGTATATTCCATTAGTAATTTCGGTTAAATACAGTACATATTGGTTGTAAAGTCGAAAATATCCTTTCTTCTTCCTCTCTTTTCTTCCCTACTCCTCAACACCAAAATCCGCCACCCCTGTCCCTCCGCCCGCCAGCTCATCGCCACCAGCAGCCTCACCACCTGCACTTGTCGTCGACTTCACTCCTAGTCGCAAACCTTTCCATTACCGCCAATTTCGCAAAATTGACTAGAGTTTTGTGGGCTTGATTGATGGATGCATTGTTTTTTGTGGATTGTGTTGTGTTTTGATTGATTTTTGGAGTGTGATTTGTTATTGAGTTGGTGTTTGAATTGAGAAGGCCTAATAGCCACCTGTCGTCGTCGACCACCACCCGAACCTCTCCCACCATCTCCTGCCCCCCACCTGTTTAATTATGATCACTTTGCAAATGTGCCTGCCACTACCCTGGTGAAGATCACACACTCAATCTTCAATGCCAATGAGGGTGTAAATGGGAACAAGGCTCACTAAAAGATTTTGGTTAGTAAGATTGCATCTTTCCAGCAGTTCATAAAGCATAATTTCGATGCAAGTGATCATGGGACATCAAGCTTCCTAGTTACTGTGGTGCATTGCATAGGGATATTAGATGTTAGAATTATAAACACCGTAGACATGCGGGAAACCTTTTAGTGAGGAAGCTTGATGTTGTTGGGAACTTTGGTCAGGTGGAGCTCATTCCAATTGACCATGGCTTAAGCTTGCCAGAAACTTTGGAGGATCCCATTTTGAGTGGATCCATTGGCCTCAGGCTTCGATTCCGTTTTCAGATGATGAACTTTGATTACATTAGAAAACTTGATCCTGTTCGTGACTCTGAAATGCTGTGAAGGGAGCTCCCGATGATCCAAGAGGCTTGTCTGCGAGTGTTGGTTCTTTGCACAATTTTCCTAAAGAAAGCTACTGAATTTGGTCTTTGTCTTGTTGAAACTAGTGAGATGATGAGTGGGGAATTTCGTGCTGGGGAAGAGGAACCTAGTGAACTAGAGATTGTATTGAAGCAAGGTTCCTCTTGATGAGTTCCGATTTGATATAGATTGCGAGAAAACAGAGTTTGACTTTGAGGTAAAGATTCAGTTTCAGTCTCTTTTCTCTATTGTCGATGGCGAAGGAGAGAGGAGAATAGAGGTGGCGAATGAGAGAAGAAAAGACTATTCTACCCTTACTTAAATGGGACTTTTGACCAACTTACCTTCCTTCATAACAAAAATTACTAGCAAATCTATATTGTGGATGGTAAATGGTAAACTTGTATTTTGAAACTTTTTAGGTGGGAAAGTGTCAGTAGGCCAAACCTTGGGTGGGAAAAGGTCGTTTACTCTTTTTCTTTTCTCCTTCATATTTCATCAACCGTTATTTAACGGCGCCCCCTATTTATCAATTAATGCTCTTCTAATTCACTTTAACATGCGTATCATAGATTATTCTAATTTTTTAAAAGATATCTTCTTTTGTTATTTTCTTGTTATCTTTGACTTCCAAGACCATATTTATTATTTGAATAGGAAGCTTAGCGTGTAGTCAAAGCATAAGTCTTCCCCATCATGGCTAGCTCTCTTACTTGACTTCACTCTCTCACTGCTTCTGCATATCTATGGCCTCTCTTGTAGCATTCATGGGCCGTAAGCTGGAAATAGAGATCATCCGTCTCCTCAAGAAGAAGAGGATTGATCCTGAATTTTCTGTACCTGACGAGATTAATGAACTTGATATCTTCAAGCTCGATCCCTCTGAGTTGCCCCGTAAGTGGATTCAAGCTATCAATAATCAGTTAGTCAGATAAATCAGTTTTTTATGTGAATTTAATTGTGATGCAGGACTTTCAAAAATTAACTCCGATGAACAAGCATGGCCCTTTTTCTCTGAACCATATAAGAACGTAAAGGGTAAACAAGCCCACCTAACAAATGGAAACTGGGAAAAAACAGGTAACGATCGTGAAGTCAGGGATAAAAGTACTGGCAAGCGGATCGGTGGCAAAAAGAATTATGTTTACTATAAACGTGGTGGTTCTCCTAAGCAGAAGATCAAGACTGACTGGGTTATGCACGAGTACTATGTTGATGATGACGACTCTCGTTATAAGGTGTATTGCTTTCTGTTTTCATTTCTCATTTTTGGAGTTTACTCAACTTCATTACTTATTATGAGTTGTCTTAATTTTTGCTTTAGTGTTTATTTATCTATTGAACATAAATCTTCATCTACTGGTTTTCATAGACTCTGTTTTTTGTATTACTGGTTGAAGATTGAAATGATGATGGATGAGCTTGATAAAAAACTATATTGTGTCTACTTTAATTTTTTATAACAGTAGTGATCAATATCCGTGGAAATTTGGTAAAAAAATTGAGCTATGTTCTCGCTGAAACCACATATGTTGTGAAAATTACTCACAGACGTGAGTCTGGATACAAGTTATTAGATGAATTAGAGTTTTTTGTTCTGTTTTGTCCTTTGGTGAGTATGTACTAAAGCATTCTAGACGATCCAACACATTCACTTTTATCATTTGTTTGCAGAAGGATTTTGTTTCCGCTACGTAGAAAAAAATCCAACGGGCAAGCCTAATACTTCAACTCCCGATGATGGTCAACCGAGTCACCGTTTGCTTCTGATGCTGAAACCTATGCAGAAAAAACTTCTACAGAGGTGAGATAGAACATGTGTCTCAGAAACTTTTCAACATCAAGTAATACATAATGCAGGAGGAAAGTATCAAGATCTAATACTTGTTTATCTATGATTCTTGCTTCAGGTAGAATCTCAGCAACCGTCGACTCACTGTTTGGGCAATGAGTTCTTGAAGTGAGAAAAAAACATCCTATGGGTAGTTCTCATTACAAATAGATGTCTTCTGTTCACACAATTAATTATTGTTTCTTTATAATTCTTAATCAGGTGGAATCTGAGTTACAGTCAAATCACAGTTTGGTTTCTGATACAGGAAATTATTTTGCAACAAATACTTCTACCCTAGTAAGGAAGATCACATGCTCTTATGTAGTTTTTAGTATCAACTTATACATATGGTCCATGATAAACTATTCTCGCTATTAATACTTCTTCAATGGTGAGGGTGCATGCATACCCTTATTAATGCTTCATGAATAAATTATATTCCACAATTAATAAAACGCTTGTTTGTTTATTCTTACTTCAGGAAGTAGAACCTAGGTACTATCAAATCACAATTTGTTTCAGGCTCAAACAAATCCTTTTGCACCAATTACATCTTCAATGGTAAGGATGCATATGGCTTATGGTTCCTTTTAGTATCAACTTATGCGTTCTGTCATCAAAAACCGTATTCACACAAGTAATACTTTTTGTCTATGATTTTTTACATTAGGTACAACCTCAACTACTATCAAATCACAATATGGAACTGATCAAAGAAATCATTTTGCATCAATTACGTCTTCAATGGTGAGGATGGCTTATGGTTGCTTCTGGTATCAACTTATGCATGAAAACATATTCACACAAGTAATACTTGTTTGTTATGATCATTACTTTAGGTACAACCTCAACTACTATCAAATCACAATATGGAACCTGATCCAAGAAATCATTTTGCACCAATTACTTCTTCAATGGTGAGGATGCATATACCTTATGGACGTTTGTTCTGGTATCAACTTATGCATGAAAATATTCACACAAGTATAACTTGTTTGTTTACGATTCTTTACTTTAGATACAACCTCAACTACTATCAAATCACAATATGGAACTTGATCCAAGAAATCATTTTGCACCAATACTTCTTCAATGGTGAGGATGGCTTATGGTTGTTTCTGGTATCAACTTATGCATGAAAACGTATTCACAAAATAAGACTTGTTTGTTTATGATTCTTTACTTTAGGTACAACCTCAACTACTATCAAATCACAATATAGAACCTGATCCTAGAAATCATTTTGCACCAATTACTTCTTCAACGGTGAGGATGGCTTTATGGTTGCTTCTGGTATCAACTTATGCATGAAAACGTATTAACACAAGTAAGACTTGTTTTTTATGATTCTTTACTTTGGTACAACGTCAACTACTATCAAATCACAATATGGAACTTGATCCAAGAAATCATTTTGCACCAATTACTTCTTCAATGGTGAGGATGGCCTATGGTTGCTTCTGGTATCAAATTATGCATGAAAACGTATTCACACTAGTAAACTTTTTTGTTTTGATTCTTTACTTTAGGTACAACCTCAATTACTAGCAAATCACAATATGGAACTTGATCCAAGAAATCACTTTGCACCAATTACTTCTTCAATGGTAAGGATGCATATGCCTTATGGATGTTGCTTCTGGTATCAACTTTGCATGAAAACGTATTCACACAAGTAATACTTGTTTGTTTATGATTCTTTACTTTAGTTACAACCTCAATTACTAGCAAATCACAATATGGAACTTGATCCAAGAAATCATTTTGCACCAATTGCTTCTTCAATGGTGAGGATGCATATGCCTTATGGATGTTGCTTCTGGTATCAACTTGCATGAAAACGTATTCACACAGTACTACTTGTTGTTTATGATTCTTTACTTTAGGTACAACCTCAACTACTGTCAAATCACAATATGGAACTTGATCAAAGAAATCATTTTGCACCAATTACTTCTTCAATGGTAAGGATGGCTTTATGGTTGCTTCTGGTATCAACTTATGCATGAAAATGTATTAACACAAGTAAGACTTGTTTTTTTGATTCTTTACTTTAGGTACAACCTCAACTACTATCAAATCACAATATGGAACTTGATCAAAGAAATCATTTGCATCAATTACTTCTTCAATGGTGAGGACGGCTTATGGTTGCTTCTGGTATCAACTTATGCATGAAAACATATCCACACAAGTAATACTTGTTTGTTTATGATTCTTTACTTTAGATACAACCTCAACTACCATCAAATCACAATATGGAACTTAATCCAAGAAATCATTTTACACCAATTACTTCTTCAATGGTAGGATGCATATACCTTATGGATGTTGCTTCTAGTATCAACTATGCATGAAAACGTATTCACACAAGTAATACTTGTTTGTTTATGATTCTTACTTTAGATACAACCTCAACTACTATCAAATCACAATATGGAACTTGATCCAAGTAATCATTTTGCACCAATTACTTCTTCAATGGTGAGGATTTTTGGTTGCTTCTGGTTCAACTTATGCATGAAAACGTTCACACAAATAATACTTGTTGTTTATGATTATTTACTTTAGGTACAACCTCAATTACTATCAAATCACAATATGGAACATGATCCAAGAAATCATTTTGCACCAATTACTTCTTCAATGGTGAGGTTGCATATGGCTTATGGTTTCTTTTAGTCTCAACTTGTGCATGAAAACATATTCACACAAGTAAAACTTGTTTGTCTATGATTCTTTACTTTAGGTACAACCTCAACTACTATCAAATCACAACATGGAATTTGATCCAAGAACTCATTTTGTGCCAAATACTTCTTCAATGGTAAGGATAAACATGTGCTTTAAAATTTTTGTTTAGTATGAGCATATACATATATATGGTACATGAAAATATTGTCACATATAAAGCTAATGCTTGTTTGTACGTATATGATTTTTACTTCAACCTCAGCTACTACCGCATCAAAATTTGGATTCTTTAATGGTGAGGATGAATATGTTTGTTGTTTTCAGTATTAACTTATAATTGTGCATATAAAATATATTCAAGCAACTAATGCTATTTTGTTTATAATTTTTACTTCAACAGCTGGGACCTCAATTACTATCAAATCACAATATGGTTTTTGATCCAATGAATCATTCTGCACCATGTACTTCTTCAATGGTGAGGATGCATATGACTCATAGAATCTCAACTACTATCAAATCAGAATTTGGTTTCTGATTCTTCAAGATATCATTTTGTGCCAAATACTTCTTCCATGCTATGAGGATGAACATGCTCCCTTACGATAGTTTTTAGTATTAACTTAATATATTTTCCATGACAAATGTATTTACACAACTAAAATACTTGTTCATCTATATTCTTATTCCAGGCAGCACATGATCAGCTACTATCAAATCACAATTTCCTTTCTGATCCAAGAAATCATTTTGCGCCAAATGCTTGTTTAATGGTGAGGATAAGCATGCGTTATTGTAGATTTAGTATCATACTACACATATATATGTTGCATATATAAAAATTAAAACTTATTTACACAAATAGTTCTTGCTTTGTCTCCTCTTTCGTATTTCAGGTACATCCTCAACAAGTTGCAGAATTATTTGCGCAATTCACTGCACTATTTGGGCGTTATTTGCTGGATCACAGCTCAGTGTCGGCACCACAGTGGCCAATTAATCCACAACAAGGATCCTATTCCTCCTTGGACTCAAACTGCGCCTTTGGTAATAACTGTACTTCGTCGAGCTCTCAGTTTCATGGAGGGCTTGAAGATGCCTGGGTTGCACAAAGGAGTTTCCAGGATAAACATCCTGAAGAAGCAACTGGACAAGACTCTTCCTACTGATACGGACACTGACAACACCAAGGCTTTCATGGATGAGCAATCTGTGGACATTCCTCTTGATCTCAATTAAATTCTGCGGGAGAATATTATTATATTATTGTTGACATTTGAAGAATGGTTTACTCAATGTTGTGTAATCGTTTGAGAATAATGGCTCCTATGTTTCTGGGCCTTCTTGTTTAAAAATATTGAATTTCTATATTTAATAAATTAATAGAATGAGTACATGAGTTCCAGATGGTTGGAGCATGCTTAATGGAAATGAATGCCTTTTTAAATTAAAGAAGTGTAAAGATGAATATCAACTAAAATTTAAATCCTACAAATTTATTACGTGTCTAAAAGAGTCATTTGAAGCCTCAACATATATTAACTTATAAAATTCATGTCTTTTTCCTTCAAATTAGAATAAGAAATCTCCAAAAAAAACAAGTATGATTAAATTGAAATGAGTAATACACATCCGTAAAACTGATAAAACAGAAAATGGAACTAATTATGACATGTAGTGAAAATTTCAACAATTTTAGTCTTAAAAAGTTTTAAAATCAAATATCATGAGAAAGAGAAAGGGAGAACAAGAGAGTAAAAAATTTTAAGGATAAAATCATAAAGATAAGTCTTAATAGAAAGTTTTTTATGGAATATATGTATAATAATTCTTATTTTTAAAATATCTAAAGATAAGTCTGAATATATATATTAATAACAATTTTTTATGGTCTATATATTAATAATTTTTTTTTTTTAAATACGAGAGTAGACCTGGGTCTACCTCAAAGGGTTTATCCCTGAGTTTAAACTTATTTACCTATGGTATTTATGATTTAATTTGAAATATCAAATTTGTAACTATATTTGTAATTAACCTTGAAAAATCGAATTTGTAAAGGATTCCATGAATCCTGAAACCTACTCAAAGTTCTTACGGACTACACCCATGTCATAAAAAAATAAAAAAACGCATGGAAAGATAACAAATGGATAAGAGAAGATTCTAGAGTGAAGACCTATTAGAAGAAGGAGCTTAATAGAAGGAGATGGTGGGGCCTAAATAGACTAGACGACTTGCAAAGGAAGGATTTCCGTACACTGTGATACGACGTCAACCATTACTAAACGGTCCCGTGTATTAAAATAAGAATTTATCAATTAATCTTCAAATTCTTTTCATGCTTAACTTCTTCAAATGGACATTTATTTTATTTTCTAATTAAAATGGACCCGACGTAATAATAAACACGTCATCATCTTCTACAACCAAGAACTAACGATACAGTATTCTACTCCACGTCGTTTGAAGATTCTCAACGCGTTTATACGCAGCACTCACTCTCCCTCAACACTACCACTTTTGCGAATATAAAAAATATTGATAAGAGCTTTCCGTCACACTTCAGCTTCAGCCTCTTGCTTCCAAGCAAACCGTTCCGATCAAATCACACATACCTTCTTCTTGTTCTTGAACACTTCCACTCCTCGTTACTATTTGTGCTGAATCAATTACAGATGGGATGTCTTGTGGGACTCATGTACTACCTTTTTCATGTGAAAATCATCAGTCTTCTGGAGGAGAAGAGGATTCACCCTGATTTCTCTGACCCCGACATTAATGAGGTTGACATCTACAAGTTCGATCCTTCTGACTTGCCTGGTAAGTGGGATTTTCTTCAAGTTTTCAATTTTAATTTCAATGGTTTCTGATCACTGATGGGAATTGAAATATGATGCAGGGCTTTCAGAAAGTGACTCCGACGAACAAGGATGGTACTTTTTCTGTGAACCTTACTATAAGTATGCGAAGAGTAAACGTGCCAGCCGACGAACCGATGGGGGATACTGGAAAATAACTGGGAGAGGTTGTGATGTCAAGAATAAAAGTGGCCAAGTCATCGGCAGTAAAAAGAATTTGGTTTTTTATAGACTTGGTGTTGGTGGTGGTACTTCTAAGGAAGACAAGACTGACTGGGTTATGCACGAGTTCTATGTTAAGGATGAGGACAACCCTCGTTATAAGGTGTACTTCTTTGTTCTATTTTTGTTTTTTTAACTTGCCTGTTCATTGTTTAAGCTATATGTTCTGTATAATTGAAATTAATGAAAGGCTGCATTAATTTTACACATCTCATTTTATATATGTTTTAACCTTTGATCTTTTTTTTTTGGTTTTTTGTAGAAGGATTTTGTTGTCTGCTTCATAGAAAAAAAATCAAATAACAAGTCTGCCGTATCAACTTCTGATGATGGTCAACCAAGTGACAGTTTGTCTTCTGTTTCTGTAAGCCATAATACAGAAAACCCTTACACAGAGGTAAGATAGAGCGTGTCTTATGGCCATTTTTCAATGTCAAAGTTATTCATACCTCGGGAGAAGCATATCAAGACTTAATACTTATTTATCTATGGTTCTGCGTCCAGGTTGAATCTCAGACATCATCCAGTCACAATTTGATTTCTGATTCTGGAAAGATTATTACAGAAAATTCTTTTTCAGAAGTAAGAAAAAGCTTGCCTGGCTTATGGTTAGTTCTCAATTGGTATGTGAAATATATATTCACACAACTAATACTGGTTCTTTGTTTCTCCATGATTCTTGTTTCAGGTGGAACCTCGACTACTAAAAACTACCAATTTGGTTACTGATCCAGGAAGTTTGTTTCCAGAAAGTACTACCTCAGCGGTGAGGAAAAATATTGGAGTTTTCAGTCTCAATTTATATAGATGACATGTTCAAGAAAAAATATATATATTCACATAAATTTTGATAGTTCGTCTTTGATTCTTATTGCAGGTAGAACCTCAACTACTATTCTGTGGCGATTTTGTTCCCGACCAGATGTATCATATTCCAGAAATTACTTGCCTAATGGTAAGGACAACTTTATTCTTATACAGATGGATATGGGACATGAAAAACATTTTCACACCCCTAATGTTTGTCTATCTATGATTCTTACAGCAGGTAGATCCTCAACTACTAGCTGAATCTGATGCAACCAGTAGCCGTGATTGGTTGAATGACAGCCCTATCCCTTCACCGCAGTTGCCAATTAATCCAGACCACTACCAGGGGTTCAATTCCTCTTCATACTCACCTGGTTTTAGTGATGATTGTAATGTGCAGGATTTTCAGTTCGATGGTGAGCTTGGAGATGTGATTTCACTATGGGACCTTGAGAATTAATTAACCTTGTGAAGAAGTAACTGGACAGATTCCTCCTGCTCGCGAAGACATTGAAACCATCGGCTACACTTCAGTAGCATGTGGACTGTAAACCACATTGAAATTCCGTAGGGGAATAGTATTACTGTGGTTTATTATCATTGTAAGAATGTTTTAACTGTATTTCGAGATTATGTACTTGTTGAGAATAATGGTTGCATCTTTTGTGACCTATTTAACTCGTCAGTTTGTATTTATGGCCAAGTTCTGGCCACTTGGAGCTTGTATCCATTATGGAATTTGTCATAAGAATTTCCATCTATTTTCTCCAATGAATGTTGCTCTTCGAATTTCGATTGTTTTTATCTTCTCATATAGCTTCTGTCAAGATTGTTATTATTTTGTTCCAGGTTTTACTCTGCAATCTCGTAAGAGCTCTGAGTGAGAATTTTATTAAGATTGGGATAGAACCTTAAACCCGAATGAGAATCTCACACTTATCAGTCAACATATACACCTTGCCAAGAAAATTTTATGATCTTCTTAATGTAAAAACATGATAATCTCATAACTTGAGCTCTCAGTTCCAGTTTGAAACATTAAATACATCAGTTTTAAGATCAGTATCAAACTTGGAAAACAAATATGCAAAGGAGAAGACCAGTAAAAACAGAGCAAAACTACAAAAAGCAGAAACTACTTCTCTGAGAAGGGGAGCCGGATACATTAAAAATGGTTTGAAATTTTAGATTACTTGCCATGGAAGTAGACAGAAGGAAGTGGGAATGACAGATAGTGGGAGTCACTTTACTCTTTTAGTTAGCTGTTAATTTTCACGATTTTTCTTTTATTAAATAACAATGTTAATTACCTTATCAACCATTTCATACATCACAAAAGGACAGAGAATAACCCTTTCACTTTCACACGTGTTATGTGTATCAAAAAGTGATGCTTTTTCCCTTTGCAGAGCAAATTCTTTCCTTCAAATCCCCTCAAACCTATTTCTTACTGTGTTTCTAGTGTTTTCTGTTGCTTTATTTTGTATTAAATCAGAAATCGTCTGTAGATTGTACTGAACCAGAAATGAGCAATCTTGAGGGATTTCGATTGCCTTCGAATGATGATGAATTCATAAGTCCTCTGGAGAAGAAGACAATTGACCTTGATTTATCTGTCCAAATCAATCAATAACATATATATCTGCAAGTGTAAAGCCCTCGATTTACTAGGGAAGTACATACATATGGCAATCTCGATTCAAATTCCAATATATTATGTTGTTAGAAATACCAGGTAATGTTGGATAATAAACCACCTTTTTTTTTTGTTTTGGGTGTATACAGGGCTTTTCATATTTCATTTGCATGATTTTTTCTAGGCTCGGCTACAGGTTGAACCTCAACTACTACGAATGTTGTATTTTATAACTTTAAGCATAGCCTAACTACTAGAGATATGGTGAGGAGAAGCATTACTGTGAAATTGTTTAAACTTATCTATGTAGTGCTTTAGAAACATATTTCGAACTTATGCTTAATGCTTCTTCACGTGTGATTCCTCATGTGGAACCTCTACCATTATCAAAATTTGATCCAGACATATATCCTCTCAATCATGAGCATGAGATGTCACAAATTTACAACGTTTAGTCTACAGGAGAATACCTTGCTAGGAAGCAAATGAATATTCTCCAATGACTGTTGAGGAACATTAGGTCAATGGAGATTCATGGACATTAATTGTAACAATGTTCATAGTCATGTTATCGTGTATACTACATCCTCTCTGATTTTGAGATTAATAGTTAAATCACCAGCATATTCAAGAATGTGCTAACCGATTTCATCGTGAAATCTACCTTATGCAACTCCACTCGAGAATTGTGTGAGTTCGTCATTACTCATGAGATCGTTGCGTTAGATTCTCCCTATCATCTTCCAAAAACATTTCCTATATATCAACAGAAGACCTTGTAAACGGTAATATAAACCAAAATCCATCAACTGTGTATTTGATAAATAGAATGCCCAACTTAGGAAATGTTTCACCTTTTAAGAAATTGTTCAATAAGCACCTCCCTTGCAATCTTTGGTTGCTCTACAACAAACACAAATTTGATTTCAATATCTTTGAAAATCAGATTCAATCACAAAAGCCATTGAAATATTTTTTTGCTTTGCATTAACAATCCTTTGGAGCCTGAACAGTAGGATAGTATTGAAATAATGATTTGGTATTGGTTTTTGAATTAGTGACTAAGAAAATATATTAAAGGTTTATTATGGTTTATTATGCATGTGATTGTGTTACTGGAAATGTGCCCGGGTGGAAGAAATCAAGTGACAACAGCCTGGGTTACGGTCAATACAGCAGTTTGGGCTGCCAGATTTACAAGAAGTTGGGCCTTAATTGGCCCAAAAATATATTAAATATGTTTGTGTCAATGATTTTTTTTTTTTTTTTTTTTTTTATGTTGGAGATGTTCATGTCAGTTTATGCGTACTTTAATTATTCTTCCGAGGCCTTAAAACTATCAATCAGATAAGAATTATAGTAGTTATCCCTATTAGTATCCGAAAAGAAACTTGAACTCAGAATCTCTTGAATAATACATTTAAGAATCTCTACCGAACCATTCGATCACCTAAAAATAATTTATGTTAGTGATGTTGCTAACAACTTTGGAAGACCTTATTAAAGCTTTGGAATTAATAATTGTATTTAGTTATTGATCCAACCATACACCTTACCAAGAACAGTTTTATTCCAATGAAGGAATATTGAAATCATATTCTGATCTTCATATATGAAGAACGGAAATAATAAAATGAAAGCATTCCCGAGGAGCATATGGCAGGAGAACGGAAGATGAGGCAAAGAATGAAGGAAAGATGACAAAATGAGAAGAAGATTCTAGAGGTAGCTGTGGAAGATTCTAGAGTGGAAATAGAGAGATGGCGGGGTCCTTCTTTCTTATACGACTTGCAAAAGAAGATAGCCTTCGTGTCACTTTCTCCCATTTATTTCTTATCCTTAGCACTTGATTAGTCTTTAACGATTCTGTTCCTTTATATAAAGAATAATGCTGTATTTATACCATTTTTTTACACCATTTTTATTACATCATAATATGGCATATGTCATAATCATACAAATTATATTATAATATTAGAAATTTAAAATAATTAAAAATTTGTGTAGTTGTGGCATATAGGCAAAGAATGAAGGAAAGATGACAAAATGAGAAGAAGATTCTAGAGGTAGCTGTGGAAGATTCTAGAGTGGAAATAGAGAGATGGCGGGGTCCTTCTTTCTTATACGACTTGCAAAAGAAGATAGCCTTCGTGTCACTTTCTCCCATTTATTTCTTATCCTTAGCACTTGATTAGTCTTTAACGATTCTGTTCCTTTATATAAAGAATAATGCTGTATTTATACCATTTTTTTACACCATTTTTATTACATCATAATATGGCATATGTCATAATCATACAAATTATATTATAATATTAGAAATTTAAAATAATTAAAAATTTGTGTAGTTGTGGCATATGCCACATCATGATATAATAAAAATTGTGTAAAAAATTGATGTAAGTGTAACATTACTCTTATATAAATTCATCAAATCATCTTTAAAGAGTAAATAACATATTCCCACCCGAGGTTTAGCAAAATCCTGAATTAATACCTATGCTTGTATTTATTTTAGATTTTCACCCTTAAACTAATATCGTTATTGAGTATTGGAGGTGATCGAAAATACTGAGTGAGTTGTAGAGGAGGTTATGAGGAGTCCAACGATGGTTTTAGAAATGATTTTGGACTTCAAAATCAGTCAACAAAAGCCAAAAACTAGCAGCTCGGACACTACTAACTTGAGCCCTTTTATGCTAAAATGAACCCATCTTCTACCTAGGAAAGCGTCAGCGTATTTTAGTGTGCTAATCTGCATTGCACTACAGTAAAAAGTTGAAAATCTACTAAAATAAAAGAAACGACGTTACTTTAAGGGGCGTTTGGTTGGAGGTTATATAGGAGTACTGAAGTAATGTCATCTTATATTACTTGATTACCACATTTGGTTGTCAAATATTATAAGATTCATGTAATCTTCCAATACGAATAGTAGTTACTGTTGGTAATATTGAGGGCCCGTTTAGATAGGGGTAATATTAGATAACTGGAGTAATATTTTTTAAATTAAGCAGATGACAATGTTTGGTTGGTTTGTAAAAAAATATTCTCAGAATCTTTTATGACAAATGGTGGCATTTTGGGGATAAGTTGCAGGGAATATTATTATCTGGGTGGGGAAGGGGGGTTGTTAAAACTTACCCAAGGTAATCTAATTTTGTGTCCCATATTGCCCCTAAAAAGTTGAGCATTTGGTCCAAATTAGTCTTATATTTGTTAAGATTTACAAAACACCAAATTCACTCATGCAGATCCTTTTATCCTCACTTTTTAAATTTTTCGAACGACATTGCCCTTGTTATTGTCATTATTTACAGAAATGTCATTGTACCCAGAATAAACCACCATCGCTAGTCACCGTCGACAGTCATCAGAGGCTACCAAAAGTCGTCATAATGGCTTACGACCGACCGTGTGCTAATGAGGCCTTTTCTGACCATGAAAATGGCTAAATCTGGTCGTGAAACGGCCGAAGTTTCAAGATCAAAGACCTGGCCATTTCACGACCAAATCTGTGGTCGTTTTACAGCCAGATCTTTGGCAGTGAAACGGCCAGATCTATGGCACTGTCGGCGTCACAACCAGATTTGTGGCACTGTTGGTGGTCGCAGACGGAGGTGGCTTGTTGCCAATAGTGGCTTGGGGTGGGTAGGGGTGTTTTTGTTAAGTTTAAAACGCTTTTGGTTGCTAGGGTGTTTTTGCTAAATCTGAAAAGTAGGGAGTTAAAAGAAATTATTCAAAAAATAATAATAGAAAAATACTATTATATTAATATTTAAAAAAAAAAAAAAAGCAATTTAGTATTCTATATAACATACCCACCCATTTATCCTCCCAACCAAATATATTTTCTAAACATTCCTAGTAATCTTCAAGGTGATCTTTTATTCTGTTAATATAATATCTCTCTATAATAAAACATTAGATGATCCAAAAGCCCCTTGAAGGTAATCTGATTACTTCCATTTTTTTAGGTATTATAAGATTATTTGGTTATCTTATTTTTGTTCCAATTTTATCCCTTATTAATAAAAAATTTGGACAATAATGCCCTTGTTTTAAAATCAATTTTCATTAATCCACCATTATAATTTTATCCTTGTTTAATTAAGTTTTTGGACAATAATACCCTTATATTTAAAACAAATTGCAGACCACCACTTGCACCCAGCCACCGTCATCGACAGTTGGCCAATCACTGTCTACAGCCGTTGGAAGTTGTCGAGAATCCCCGGGAGGCTCCGATATGGCCATCTCTAGCAAGATCTACTTCGATATTGCCATCAATATGGCCGTAAATGGCCATATCGGCAACTTGCGGCGACGGAAGGCAATGGCTGGCGGCGAGCAGTGGCTTGGGGTGGGTGGGGGTGATTTTGTTATAAATTAAAATTTTATATAAGTTAGGGTGTTTTAGCTAAATCTAAAATGTTGGCGATTAAAAGAAATTATTCAAAAATTAATAATAAAAATAATATTATATTAATATTTAAAAAGATGACAATTTAGTAATTTAAATAACATATACATCAATTTATTCCTCTTAACCAAATATATTAATATAACATACTCATCAATTTATTTCAATTAACCAAACATATTTTCCTAAGAATTTTTAATAATCTTCAAGATAATCTAACTTTGTATTAATATAATATTACCAATAATCTAATATTCTTTGAATCAAATGGTAAAAATCTAAAGATATCAAGTAGAGATTTCACTAAACCTCGGGTGGGAAAAGTCGTTTGCTCATCTTTAGATTCTTATTCTCTCAAATATTTTCTTCCGCACTAAAAAAACAAATTATGATGACGTTTCTATTTGACGTCCATCTTTTGGAAATTCTCACGCGGTTTTGCACAGTACACTCACAATCATTCAGCAGTTCCGCTTATTTTCTATTTGTATGAGCGTAACGTTATCCTTTTTAAAAAAAAAATTGATAATTAATTGATGATCAGGATGATGCCACGTTATTTGATGCATGGATTCAGTGTTCATTCTTTGGTAACCGTATTATTTTTCATTTGTATATATATAAGGAGTGTTGGCATGCCCGAGTAGAGTTGAGCTTCTACCGGAGATAATTCTTCCCATCAATTGCGAGTAGAGTTGAGCTTCTGCCAGAGATAATTCTTCCCATCAATTGCAGAAATAGCTAGCTCTTGCTCACTTTCTCTCACACTCTTTGTTAGTTAACACTACTGCTGCTTCATTATTTTGTGCTGAATCAGAAATGGGTTCTCTTGTGGGATTGATGTACCACTTATTTCGTGTCAAAATCATCACTCTTCTCACAGAGAAGAGGGTTCACCCTGATCTCTTTGTTCCCGAGATTAACGAGGTTGATATCTACCAGTTTGATCCTTATGACTTGCCAGGTAAGTGAGTTTTATTCTTTCAACTTTTAACTTTAATTCTCTCTTTAATTTCTTCGATTCTGACTGGAATTGAATTGTCATGCAGCGCTTTCAGAAACCAAGTCCGATGACCAGGTGTGGTACTTTTTCTGTGAACCGCATTATAAGTATGCCAACAGTAAACGTGCCCACCGAGCAACCGGAGGAGGGAACTGGAAAATAACCGGTCGAGGCTGTGACGTGAAGGATAAAGGAAGGGTGATCGGTAAGAAAAGGACATTGGTTTTCTGCAGACGTGGTAGTACTTCTAAGGAGATCAAGACTGATTGGGTTATGCATGAGTTCTATATCGAGGACAGCCCTTATTATGAGGTGTATTACTTTGTTCGATTCTTATTGCTTGTTCCCTCTTCTTTGTGTTGAATTTGGAAACATTTGGCTTGATGGGTTGTCCTCTTTTCTGATTTGGTGTTGAATTTATCTATAGTAAATCTTCTGTTAACTTTTGTTTAAATATGCTCTGTGATATTAGTGACAAGCTGCATAAATTTAGCTTCTGGGTTGTGTTTGACTTACTGGTAGAAGATTGAAGTGATTGGTAAATATGCTAGAAGCTTGATTTCGTTTGATTAGGCACTTCAATTAGATTTAATTATAATCTACAAATTTAATTTTGTAATCTGTTTTATGAGATCGTATAGGAACTCGTATGTATCTCAGTTATGTACTTGAATTTTTATTATTAGTGATATCCATGGAAATTATGTAAGAAATTGAGACCTTTCTTCTAAGTTCAAAATCGCCTTGCAGAACCATTACTAATGTGACAAGGAGAATATATTTTCCTTATGAATTATTTTATGAAAGAGTCTGTTGTTTTTGTTTCTCTTTAAAGTCTGGTAGGTAGTATAGAGGCAGTTCTGATCAAAATTTGCTATGTCTGGGAAATAATTGGTACTACAGGATTCTAGGCAGCTACACATTACGTTTTATTTATTTTCATTTTACCTTTATTTAATTTTTTGTTTTTGTAGAAGAATTTTGTTGTCTGTTACATAGAAAAAACAAAAAAAAACAAGTCTAGTGTTTCAACACCCGATGATGGTCAACCGAGTCACAGTCTGTCTTCACATTATGAAAGTCGTGTTACAGAAAATTCTTCTTCGGAGGTGAGATAGAACATGTCTTGTGGTCATGTTTCAATATCAAGTCGGAAACATATCCAGAATTAATACTTCTTTATTTATGGTTATTGGTTCAGGTTGAATCTCAGCAAACAATGAGTCAGCATTTGATTTCTGATTCTAGAAAGCATATTACAGAAAATTCATTTTTAGACGTGAGAAAAAGCATGCCTTATGGGTAGTCTTCGGTATCAGCTGTAGTCTTTGAAAAACATATTCACACAACTAATACTTTCTTTGTCTATGATACTTTTCTTCAGGTAGAATCTCCACCACTATCAAGTGACGAATTAGAGAGTATTTACTCAATGGTGAGGAAAAATATCTTACATAGTTTTCATATCAATTTATACATGTAGACATGGTGCATGAAAACCATATTTAAATAACTATTATTGCTTTTTTTGTCTATGATTCTTGCTTCAGATAAATCCTCAACCACCAGATGAATTTGATGCAGTCAGTGGCTATAATTGGCTGAATCACAGCTCGGTCTCTGCTCTGCAGTCGCCAATTAATCAGTACCAGGGATCCAATTCCTCATACTCAAATGGCATTAGTAATGACTGTAATCTGGGGAGCTATGAATTCACTGGTGGGCTTGAAGATGTCGTGAATTCGCAAAGGAATGTCCAGAATCAATATCCTTGCGAAGTAGTACTGACTCAGTCAGACATTGAAGCAATGGTTAAAGAGCTATCTTGAGGACTTTCCGCCAATAGCATGGGAAAATTAAATAGCGAAGGGGGATTATATTATTACGGTTATGAACACTGTAGACTGCTTTGCTGTATTCTAATTATTATGAGCCTTGTAATTGTCGACCATAATGGTCACATCCTTTTGGATCTTGTTTCAAACACTTTGAAAAAATTCAGCTTGTCAATTATATTTATATCTAAGTATGGCTTAGTTCTGGAAACTTCAAGTATTGTTTAATGGGAATGCTGTTCATATGTCCAGGTATTAAAATTCCATTGAGGAATTTGTTAAGAACAAAATCATATTTCCTTCTCTCTCTCCTTTTTTGATTTTAGTTAATGATTAATCACAAACTTGAATTTTTCCCTTGTAAATCTAAGATGAGGATCCAATGTCTGGAAATAATTTTGCAGTTCAAATATAACCATTAAGAAGGCAGTAATAGCAGGGGAAAAGGTTTGTTTGGTTTTCCTGGGGAGTGGGGACACCCCATTAAAACATAAACAAAATCCACCATCACTGTAATTTGGCAATGTTTATTTCCAGTGTATTTTCTTCATATTCCTTAATTATTGGCAAAAGGTCGTGGTTCTTCATTGATATTAGCAAAAGGTAGTGGTGCTTCATTGAATGATGTTGCTCATATCAGGTATATGGCTGACATAAATTTAATTAGCTTTTGTCAGAAACAGGACGTTATAGTTTTGAGTTTTAACTTTCTAGCCTTTGTTCCAACTTCCAAGAGCCCATCTACATACATAAATAAACCTTACTGCATGCAGCACGGTGGCTTGATTTGGAGTGGAAGAAGCTCATTACAATTTTCCATGATGGAGGTTTCCTTCAGTCTTCAGATTGATTTAATAACAATATGCAACTTCTTTTCATTTCTGTGGTAGAAAATCAAAATCCCAATACTTGTAGTAGACACACACGATAATCCCAAGGTTTGAGTTTTTAATCAGGATTTAGAATATGAAACTGTTAGGATCTCATATTGGAATGAAAAATGGTAGATATGTCGATTATAAAGGGTAGATACTCTCCCTTAACAAGCTGGGTTTTTAAAATAGTTTTATTCAAATCTATGAAAGACCTATTGTCCAACCTAATTATTTGAGTTGTTGAAGTAAAATATCCTAGGCACCCTCCCTTGAACGGTTTTTTAAGTGGAGTTTTATTCAATCCCATGAAAGATCCATTGTTCAGCCCAATTTTTTGAATTGTTGGAGTAGGGTTCTATCATAAACATATTTTAATTATTAAAAATAACCCGGATGTAGAAGACATAAATGTTGTAAGTTTTAGTCCCCTTGCCAAGGAAGTAGACAGAAGAAAGTGGATGATCGATAGTGGGGTCTCAGACTTTTTTAGTAGAACCAAGTATTTAGTTGGCTGTTAACTCCTCACCAACAATTATATCCAACCCAGGGTTTATTCACATGAAATTACCTGACATGTATGCTCTGTAAAGCAGCCATTGGAAAAGCATCTAGTCGGGCTTCCACCAATAAAAAAAGGAGAGAGAATATCCAGTCAATCTTTTTTGCTAGATGCTTTGACGCTTTCATATGTGTAATGTATATAAACAAGCCATCCCCCTCTCACTTTGGATACCAAATTCTTTGCATCAAACCCACAAACCTAATTCATACGCTGTTTCTACAGTGTTCTGTTCCTCTTCTATTGAATCTCAGAAATGGAAATGGGTATACTGTTTATAGATCCAGAAATGAGCAATCTCTAGGGATTTTTATTCCCTCCTACTGATGATGAATTCATCATTTTTCTGGAGTAGAAGAGATTTGACCGTGATTTCTCTGTTCAATTCATATCCAATATTTATATTTAAGGGTGTGAAGCGCCGAATTCATCCGGTAAGTATAGTGTCAACCATTGAATTTCTTTTTAAATTCTTTATTTATTATGTCATTAGAAAGGCTGGTAATCTTTTGAAATAAAGAGTTTTTCTGTTATGATTTGATACAGGGCGTTTCGCAATTCACTCGTTTTACCTCGTTTGGTTCGAACCTTAGGTAGAACCTCAACTACTACAGGTAGAACCTCAACTACTACGAGGACTAGTATCGTATGAGTTGTTTTGGGACTAGTCTGAATTGTTTCTCAGAGGTGAGAAAGAGTGCGTAACTTTCAGTATAAGCCATGATGATGATAATGATAACAAATATGTCTAAAGGTTAATAATTTTTCATGATTCTTCAGGTTAAACGTTGGCAACTACCAGTCGTTATATGACTTCTAATGTCACAAATCATGTGCAGAAAATATATTTTCTGGGAGTGTGGTAGAGGTAAGAAAGAGCATACTTTATTGACAGTATTTCAATCTAAATTAATATTTGTGGTGTATGAGAAACTTTTTTCAATCTAATGTTATATCAACCTATGTATATTGTAAATAAGCAGCATACACTGTCAGAAAGACATGCCTTAAAAATAATTTGTTGTATGAACAGATACAAGTTCTTCAATAGGCACATATTTTCGAACTAATGCTTGCTTGTTTATGATTCTTAATTTATTTTTAAACTAATGCTTGCTTGTTTATAATTCTTAATGTAGGTAGAACCTCAACTACTACCATGTAACTTTGGCTTTTGATTTAGGAAATCAAATTGCGGGAAATAACTTTTCTCAGGTGAGATAGAATGTCCTAGCTCTCATGGGTGGTATCTGCTTTCAACTTATACGTAGTTTGCATAAAAACACATGGAATTCGTATATCAAGTAGAATTCCATTTACTACTATTCATCATTTAGCGTTTGATTATGGAATTGCTATTTTCGAAAAGTATGTTTTTAGAGGTGACTTGTATTTGCATAAGGACATATCTAAAAGAATTAAAGCTTCGTTCTTTGTGGTTGTTAATACAGGTAGAACTGCAGTATCTACCTAGTCACCATTTGGCTTTTGATTTTGTAAACCGTTTTACATAGAATATTTTTTTTTCAGAGATGAGAGAGGGCATTGCTTATGGGTTATTATTTATGTGAACTCTGCCTGAGAAACATACCAAAACTAATACTTGTTTGTCAATGACTCTTACCTCTAAAACCTCATCTACTATCAAGCTACCTTATGCATTAGTATTCCGTGACTCATGTGGAAAAATATTGCTTAAGAGATATAGGTGGTTTCCAAATGTACACTTACTTTTGTAGTGCTCGATAAACATATCTAGAATTAATGCTTCTTCGTCTATGGTTCGTACCTTAGGTAGAAGCACTACTACTTGCAGAATTTGATGCACTCGATGGCTGTAAATGGCTAGACCACAACGCATCCTCTGCAATGCACTTGCCAGTGGATCTCGAACAGAGAGTTCTTTGTTCCCAACAGTTTGTCCAGGAGAATGCTTGAGTGAGGGAACTGAACACTGAAACCATCAAAGAATGGGTAAATGAATATCCTCCTTTACCTATTGGAGAACATTACTTCAATAGAGAGTTAATCAAAATTAAGTTCTGTAGCGGAATGTTATCGTTATTGACCATAATTGTAATATTACCTATTTATGTTATAATGTATACTACAAGCGCTCTGATTTTTGCAGCAAAAGGTTACAATTTCTTGGACATGTGTGAAACTCTTGAAACTCAACTTGTTCTTCATATCTATGTCACAGTATAACCAAGTTCTGCGAAATTGGAGCTTGTTTGATGGGACTGCTTGCTCAAAGAGTACCAGGGGATGCAAATGGTTCATAACCTTATAGAACTCTGTTGAAAAGTGTGCTGAATTCATCATGAGATCTACCTTATGCAACTCCATCCGAGATCAGTGTGAGTTTGTCATGAATCATGAGATCCTTGCATAAGAATTTCTGCCAGTCAACTTCTGAAAACAAAATTCCTATATATGAACAGAAGAACCTGGAAACCTCAGAATAAACAAAAATCCCACAATTTAGTATCACAGGAATGTGCTCAAACACTCCATTTTTTGGGATAACTTCTGTAACTCCGAAGCTGCCACTGCAAAAGTATCTTCTGTTTATGCGAAGGAGAAAGTTTTGGACACTATAATAAGGCCAGGGTAGAAACTTGAAAATAAATGAACAAAGAACATTTTCCAGCAATGTTTCTTTCAAATAGTGTCCAACGGAAATGAGTACTGGTGTTATGCAATCAACATTGCAAGTGACCAAATGGTTTCTAACCTTCATGCTAACTTGTTTGAGTGCTGTTCTTATTAGAGCTTAATTTGAACGGTTTGATCAGTTGAGATTTGTTAGCTTAATTTGTTTGTGAACTAAAGTATGACACGGAGAAGACACCCAGAAAAACTTGTGAGGGAGACACATCACCAATCACTGTTGTTAATGATGTAAGAAACTAAGTTATTCATTATTGTTGTAAAGCCAAGGATTGTTTTGAATAGTAGGATGACTCGTAGTAATCTTGAAATCATATAATAACGATAGAGCTATAAAAAGCAAATCACTCCTTGTGGATCACGAACCTACTAAGAAAGAGAACAAAAGGAGAAAGAAGATTCTAGTAAAGGGCCCGGATTTCTTTGAATTTTCCAACTTCTTGTGATGGAAGGAAATACCCTCCTGTGGAAAAACTACAGTTAAAAGGTGGTAGTTACTTAATGAAAAGAATATCAGAATTAAAGGTGGGGCCTTTTTTTAGACTTCTTGGGAGTCTTGAGACTGAAGATTACCACAGTACCATCATTGATCAGACGTCAATTAAACCGCGTTTGACATATCACTCAAAAAGAAAGCACTGGGTTCTATTGATATAAATAATTGATCACCCACTTTCCTCTTCTCTAAAAGAGTAAATTATTTCATCAAATTAAACTGGAGATATCTCGCTGTTCCTCTCGCTTGTGTGGTGCTGTATCAGAAATGGACCCTCTTGTTGGTTTCGGGTTCTATCCGACTGATCAAGAAATCATCCGTCTTCTTGTGGAGAAGAGGCGTGACCCTAGTATAACTGTGCATGCTATTTATGAAACTAATATCTACGATTTCGAGCCTCCTGAGTTATCTAGTAAGTGGGTTCATTCTATCACTCAACAAAATTACTTTAAATGTCTGATTATATTAATAATAGTTGTTTTGTTTTGGGTATTGTACAGGACTTTCAACAATTCAGTCCGATAAAAAATGGTGCAACTTTTTCTGTGCACCTAAATATATAAATGCTGGTCGCAAAAGTGTTTACAGAGCAACCAAGACAGGATATTGGAAACTAACTGGTGAAGGTTATCCCATCAAGGACAAACGCAGTAAAAAAGTAATTGGTTACAAAAGAGTTTTGGTTTTCTATGAACGCCCCGGTGGTCCTAAGGAGATTAAGACTGACTGGGTTATGCATCAGTTCACTGCTGCAGACAGTCCTCTTTATAAGGTATATGCACTTTTGGTTTTTATTTTTATTTTTTGCTGTACATTTGGCTTTGATCTGAGCTTCTCTACCTAATATGGTTGTATTTCTTTCATTTCTTACTTAATGAATTATGTATGGAGTGTAAATCTTCTGCTAATTTTCTTTTTCAAATACACTTGTTGAATTCAGTGAAAAGTTGCTTATTTTAGCTTCTCTTGATTGATTGTGTTTGTGTTACTGGTTAAACATTGAAGTGATTGAAGAGCTAGAAACTTTCTTTCAATTGAGATATGATCTTCTTAGGCTTCTGAATTATTAAAAACTAAAGCTTCAATTATGTGCTATCTTTTATGGACATGCTGTACAATTTGAATAAATGTCAGTTATCTACTAGAGTTATAGGTACTAGCTAGTTTACTTGGTAGTATATGTTCTCTTGCATAATATAATAACTCTGTGGATTAAATTGCACTTGTTTTGTAAGATTTTGGGAAGTGGATTGTGATAGGGGTAAAAGAAAAAGAATTTCTTGTTGAGAATAAAGATATCTAATTGGATAATAACATGTGATTTTCATGAAATTATGTGAGAAAATTTCATCTTTGATTTTAATTCAAATCACAAATATTGGTCCAAAAATACTACAGATTTGACTTGGAAAATTTTGTTTCTGTATGAGTTATTTGGATGAATGAGAATCTGTGTATTTTTTTTTTTCCATCTGCAAGTTTGGTATGTAGTATTATGTCATTGTTAATGTTAACATTATTTTAGTATAGCATTTATAGATAGCAAGCTCATTTCATTGTGAACTTTAATTTGTGCAGAAGGATTTTGTTGTGTGTCGCGTAAAAAAGCCAGGAAATAAGAAGCGGCGTATTTCAACTACTGTTGGAGGTCAACAACGAAAGAAGTGCCGCATATCAACCAACAGTCAATGTCAACCAATTCAAGATGTGGCTTTTGATAATGGTAATCTTATTGCAAAATATACTTCTTCAAATTCTCAGTTAGTACCAATTAATTATTTGGTTTCTAATTTTAGAAATCATTATCATCATGTAGAAAATACTTCTCCAGAATTGCAGTTACCTACAATAGAAAATACTCCTCCAGAATTACCATTATCTGTCATAGAAAATACTTCTCCAGAATTGCAGTTACCTGTCATAGGAAATACTTCTCCAGAATTGCAGTTACCTGTTGTAGGAAATACATTTCCACTATTTCAATTACTTATAGCAGAAAATACTTCTCCAGAGTCGCAACAACTACCAAGTGATTGTTCAGTCTACAATACTGGACATGATGCTGTGGAAAACACTTTGCAAGTGGATCCTCCACATCTAGCAACATTTAATGCACTCAACGGCTGTAATGGGCTTGTTCAGTCCTCTGTCTCAGCAGTGCAGTCACCAATTAATCCAGAACAGGAATCCTCAAGTTCTGGTGTCTCTACTAATGACTGCAATGGTTTGGTTTCTCCATATAGTACTGTGTGGGAAGATATTCCACTGAATGTCCAAGATGAATACACTAGTGAAGAAGGCGGAGATAGTATTCTTCCTTACTTTCAATCATCAAAATCAATCCCAGGATTTTTTGGTGGGGATAGAAGTGAAACAGACACTGAATTCACTGAATGGGTACATGATATGTTTGAGTATAATAATATCGCATCTGTAAACTACAATGCAATTTTGAATTATTGACATTGTATTGATGCTTCACACCTTTATTTTTGTATTCAGAACTATGTAATCTTTATATGTATTTGGAACTATGTAATCTTTATAGTTTATATATATATTTGCCTATTTGGAGTTTGTTATTTAAACATTTATGAGATTTCAATTTGTTTGTTCTTATCATAATTTGCAAAAACTAGAAAATCTTATATGCTGCTCATACCAGGTCTGAGCCTGGCATATAATCATTTTCCTTATTTAGTTGTTCTAAGAGAAGTCGCAATATATGTTCAAAAATCTTAGTGGCGCAATTATAATCTTGAATACATTTATATAAGAATAGTAAAAATAAAATAGCAGAATTCCAGATGGGCATGTGCCTGGAGATGAACATGAAGAAAGGGGCATTATTGCTATGTAGGGGTAACATTAACTCCTAGTGGTCACCCCTTAAATCTTGGTCAGAGCTGACCAAGGCCCCTAACCCCAAAGATTTAAGGGTGAGCACTCGGGTAACCTTACCTTATTTAGATAGCATTTCCCTTTGAAGAAAGATAACAAAATAAGAAATGACTTAAAGAATATTAGTTATTTGACAAACGAGAGTCTGTTGTTCTGTTTTCTCCTTGGAGTCAGGTAAGTCGCTTTGTGGCACTTTTGATCAAACTTTGTCATGGCTGGAAAATAATTGATTTTACTGCATTCTGGACAGCGAACACATTCCAGTTTTCGCTTTGTACCTTTTGATTTTGCGTTTTTTGTGGAATGATTTTTGCTGTCTGTTACACGGAGAAAAAAAACAGTCTAATGTTTTAACACCGGATGATGGTCAACTAAGTCTCAGTTTGTCTTCCGATTCTGAAAGCAAATGCTACCGAACACCCTTCTAGAGAGGTGAGATATAGAGCAACTTATGGCCACCTTCCAATATCAAGTTAAAGATAGTGTTAAATCTCAGAAACCATATGTCACCCTTTGATTTCTAATTCTAGAAAGCATGTCACTGAATATTATTTTTTATAAGTGAGAAAAGAAAATTCACTGTGGATAATTTTCAGTATATGGACAACATATTTCAAACAATTGATGTTGGTTCTCTATGGACTATGGTTCTTTACTTCAGGTAGAATCTCAACTGCACAATTTGGGTTCTGTTCCAATAGATCATTTTCCAGAAAATACATTTTCATTGGTGAGGAGAAATATGCCTTACGGTAGTTTTCAATCAACTCATCTCTATGGTACATAACACACATATTAACAATAAATGCTTGTTTGCCCATGATTCTCACTTTAGAAGAACCTCAACTACTTTCGCCCAACAATTTGGTTTAGGATCCATGAAATAGTACTCTGGGAAGTAAATTTTCAATGGTGAGAAAGAGTATGTCTTATGATAGTCTTTAGTATCAAAGTGTATACCCTCCTAGTGCTTATTTGCATATGATTCTTACTGCAGCTAGAACATCAACGACTGTCAAACAACAATTTGGATTTTGATCCAATAAATTATTTTCCAGAAAATACTTTTTCAATAGTAATATTCACATAGCTAATACTTCTTTTTCTATGATTCTTTGGATTATGATCCAAGAAATCATTTTCAGTGGTGAGGAAAAATATGTCTTCTAGTAGTATTCATGATCAACTTATACATATGATTCATGGAAAACATACATAACTAATGCTTGTTTGTGTATGATTCTTACTTCAGTTAGAACCTCAGCCACTAGCAGAATTTGATGCACTTAACTGCTGTAATTTGCTGAATCACAACTCTGTCTTTGCGCTATGATCCCAATTAGTCCAGACCAGGGATCCAATTCCTCTTCATACTCAACCGGCTTTAGTAATGACTGTAATGTGTTTCCTGCCAATAGAGACACTGAATTCTTCAATCCATGGATGAATGAGTTATACGAGGACATTCCTTCAATAGCAAGTGTGTAAACTGTAAACCGCTATCAAATTCCGTAGGGGAGTATTATTATTATGGTTGCTTTGTTTGACATTGTAAGAGTGCTTTACTTTTTTCATTGTTGAGAATGATGATTAAAAAGTTGTCCCTTCGTTGAATGGTGCTGCTCCTACCAGTATAAGTCACATATGTAATCATTTTTTCTTCTCTTATTTAGCTTTTGTCATGACTTTATACTTACGGGTTCTTGTGCCTTTTTTTTGTTTTTTTTTTTTTAGCAAATCTATATAATATTTGTATTGATCAACGTAGAGCTGGTCAAGGACCAGTCCCAAGCAGACCCGGCCTGGGCCAGTTTGGGACTGGTCCCATCGCTCCAGTCTCAAGCACACGAGCAATTTTAGACCCGGTCCTATGGGTTTGGAAAAGTTCTTTTTCCCTCTTCATATTTTTTTATATTTTAGGGACGAAACGAAATTTTGTAAGGGGTTTTTAGTATTTTTTTAAGGTAAAATTTATAAATTTTATAAATTTTTCTGGGCCTAGAAATTTTTTTTTTTTTTTGGGTTAAATTTTATAAAAAAAATTTTAACCCCTATAATTTATGTTTATTTCAAAATTTATAGAATGTTTTATGTAATTATACAAGTGACTAAAACAAAAATATTTAAAAAAATTTGGGCCTAGGCCAGGTCCTTGGAGGAGGGCCCAGTGCAGGGACCAGTCCTCCTGGTCCTAGGATCAGGTTTATGGGCTGGGTTTTTGGAACCAGTCCCAAATGCCCACCTCTAAATCCACGTACGCATCTTATTAAGGAAAATTTATTTTTATCTTGAAATTAACAACATGATAATAGCAAAATTGGGTGCGTTTGGTTTATTATTTTGGATAGGATTTTCGAAATAATATTGGGTAGTTAGATAGGGGAGTATTACGAGGTAAAATTTAAAAATTTATGAAAAAACCCCTAGGTTTGCTAATTTAATTAACCACCCTAATATATAAAATAACAAAAACACCCCCACAATCCACCGCCGGAATCTGGCCGGAAAATTTCGTTACGACATAGACCGATCGAATCTGTGTCGTAACGCGTCGCTATGGCCTTTTCCGGCCAGATCCACCAGAAAAGGCTAGATCTACGGCTAAATATTGCCATCGACGGCCGAAAAACGTCAAAATAAGTCCATCTTTGGTCGTCGCTGACGGCCAGATTTGTGAACTTTAGGCCATTTCTGGTCAGCAGGTAGGCCGTTGTATAGATTCCATCGGTGGTTGTCAGAATCTGGCAAGTATGAGTTGATGGGGGTATTTTTGTTAATTTTTAAACTTTTTTTGGAGGGTATTTAATGAAATTAATAAGCTTAAGGGGTCTAAAAGTAATTAAAAAATATAGTAATATCTCTGGAATAATGTACCAAATAATATTTGAAGAATAGGATTGGGAATATGGATATAAATACTGAACCAAACGCACCCGAGCTTTCAAAAAATGATGCAAAAATTAGCATGTATACTAATCTGACTCAAGTAATATAATGAAAAGTATTGTCCCACAAAGATTAGTTAACCTAATAGTTACCAAAATCATTCTAGCCTTAAATACATTTGAAAAGGTCAAAAATTGATGTTTGTAATTAAACTCAGCAAATAAAAATTAAATAATGCAAAAGAAGAAATAGTATTCACAAAGGAATTAAGACACAGGCATCTGATTTCACCATAATCATTATGAAATAAACCCTAAAAACATGTTTTCAAAGAAATCATCATATATGTTGACAGTGAGCATCTGATTTCACCATAACCATTATGAAATAAACCCTAAAAAAATGTTTTCAAAGAAATCATCATATATGTTGACAATGAAAATCCCTATCATATTTAATATGCTCGCTCAAGAAATACTAAAGTGTCCATTTACTTTATTATTTTAGATAGGATTTTGGGAATAATATTGATTTGTTGAATAGCGAGGTAAAATTTAAAAATTTACAAAAAATCCTCTAGGTTTGCTAATTTAACTAAACACCCCAATATATAAATTTGTTGTAAAATGACAAAAACACCCCCACCACCCACAGTGCCGGATTCCTGCCACCACCGTCGGAATCTGGCCGAAAAATGTCGTTACGACGCAGACTGGTCGGATCTGGCGGGTAGGGTGTCAATATGGCATTTTCCAGCCAGATCCACCACGGATCTGGTCAGAAAAGGCAAGATCTATCGCCAAATCTAGCCGTCGACGGCTGAAAAAGTCTAGATCTAGCCGTTCTTGACAGCCAAAGATATGGTCGTCGTTGTCGGTCAACGACAACCATTTCTTTGGCTGTCGCTGACGGCCAGATCTACTATGGATCTAGCTGGAAAAAGCCAGATCAGTGAATTACTAGCTATTTTCGGTCATTTTTAGGCCGTTGTGACAGATTCTGGCTACCACCGACGGTGGTTGCTGAATCTAGCAAGTATGGGTGGGTGAGGGTATTTTTGTTAATTTTTAAACTTTTTTTCTGGGGATATTTAATGAAATTAATAAACTTAAAGGGTTTACAATTAATGAAAAATACTAATATTTCTCAAATAACAAAACAAACAATATTTGGAGAATAGGATTGGGAATATGGGTAGAAATAATGTGCTTCCCATATAATAACCCACGGTCCCACCGTATCTCTATTTGAATATAAGTATATAACCATGTGAAAAGACTCATTAAGTGCTATGGAAATTCATAAATAAGACTACATGAACTATGTTGGCACATCTTCGTCTTTCATTCAATTCACAACATACATCATAAGAAGCTATTTATCTATATTACCTCTCGGTCTCAATGTGCACAACGAATCATCTAAATGGTGATCAAGCATTTAAAGACATTAAGTACAATGATGTATACTCAACATAAAAGCATATTTCGAATAACATATATTAAGGGATTTAAAACATCGTGGTTGGGTTACATCGTTACCTTAGCAAATGAAATTAGTTCAAGCCCATAGTCTCAATCAAGAAAATTGAAGAATTAACAAATCTAAAAGGAGTTGTAAAAGAAAGAAAAGAAAAATAAGACTAGTCTGAAATATTTCAAACCGATCTCTCTTCTCTCCTCAATGATCTGCACTTCCTCTGGGTTCTCTACTGGTGAATTTCTTGTTCAACCCTAATCCCACGAATTTCTCCTCCTTTATTTGCTATCCACATTCTTTTCCCAAAATCT